AAAAAAAAAAAAAAAAAAAAAAAAAAAAAAATCAATGAAACCAAATCTTCTTTGAAAAGATCAAATAAATTGATAAATCACTATGAGTTTTACAAAGAAAACCAGGAAACAACCAAAATCAGAAATGATAAAGGGAGTATTATTGTAGATATCAAAAGTATAATGAGAAATACTATACACAACTCTATTCACATAAATTTAACAACTTAGATTAATTCTTGAAAAAACAAAAGTTACCAAAAGTCATCTTAGATGAAATGGACAGTCCTACAATTATTAAAGAAATTAAAGTTAAAAACATTTCAAATAAGAAATCTGCAGGCCCAAATGGCCTCCTTGGTAAATTCTACCAAAACCACAAAGAATATTAAATATCTCTTCCAGAAAACAGAAGAGCAAAAGAGACACTGCCAAGTTATTCTATGAGGCCAATATTATCTTTAAACTAAAACAAGCGCAAGACATTGTAAGAAGTAAAAACCATAACCAGCATCCTGCAAGAACACAGAAAAAAATCCTCAAGAAAATATGAGTAAATATAATCCAGCAAAAAATGACACAAAATGGAAAGATAGTTCAATATTTGAAAACCAGTCAATGTGGGGCCCCTTTATCCCTTTTGTCAGAATGAGATCCTCATTAAACTAGACCTTTGCTATTTTTCTTCCTCTTCTTTGTTGTTGGCTGGCCTGGTCTTTGTCAGCTATTTAGGCTAAAATCTTATATCATTTCCTCTCACTTTTTAATTATTGATTCTTTCTGTAAATATATGCTTTAATTTTATTTTCCATTATTATGAAAAGCAAGAACCATGCCAGCTGATATATTTTATTGTCCAACGTGGGGCTCTTTCAACCTGCTGCCAGATTTGCCTAGACCCCATAACTGACTGAGTGCTCAGATACTGGACACTGCGGACAAGAAAAGCACAGCTCCACATGAAGGAACACAAGAGAGAACCTGTTTGATAGAAATTAGGCAAAGAGTTCTTATACATGATATTAAAAGCATAACTGAGAAAAGAAAAACTTAAACTTCATCAAAATAAAAATCATTGCTGAAAGACCCTGTGAAAAGACAATAAAGAGACTGGGAGAACATATTTTGCAAATGAGACATTTTACAAACTGCTATTTCATAAAGCACATTCTGTGATTGCCATATGATTTTAAAAGAACTGTAATTCTGGGCTTACCCATTTGTCACCAAGACTCCAGTCAGCACCAAATCCCTATTAAGAGCTTCCATGGACCAACGATACAAGTTTTGAGATGACTTTTTATTTGTTAAGTCATGGACTAAAATTATCCCTAAAATAATCAGAGAAAATAATGTCAGTACTGTGGCAGCTCTTCTTCATTTCACAAGTGGCAAAGTGACGCTCTATACTACTATTAGGAGGCTTAATGAATCTTGCTTGTCTAACAAGCTCAAGCAATTATTTTAGATTCCTTCTACAAATAATTACCTATAAAACTGTCAGTTATGTAACTTTAAAAACTGTACAAAGGCTGACAAAATGTTATTAAATATTCAGAAGTCTTGTCTTACTCTTCCTTGGACACTACTTGAGTGCCTACTTAATGCCTGGTCCTACTTAAAGAAACACTTCATTGCCAGGTATGGTGGTGCACACCTGTAATCCCAGCACTTGGGAGGCTTAGGCAGGAGGATTGCTCTGAGTTCGAGACCAGCCGGGGCTACATAGTGAGTTCCAGGTCAGTCTCAACTACACAGTGAGACCCTGCCTCAAAAAAACCACACACACACAAAAAAAGAAACACTTTATCAATCAAGTGCTTCAAAACTAGTTCAATACAATAAGTTGTATTCACCAAAAAAAGTTATGTGATTTCTACAGTGCATATAACACTCCATAGATATCAGTACAAATTTTATTCATATTCACTAAAAATGACACTAATAATTTATTAAAATGACATTGATAGGGATGTAGCTCAGTGATAGAGCACTTGGCTAGCATGTGCAAGGCCCTGGGCTCTATCTCTGGCACCAAAAACAAACCAAAATTAAAATGTTATTGACTTAGTTTGTATAAATGCTATTTCTAAGCAGATATAATATTGTCCTGTAGGTCAATTGGGCCTATAAACTCAGAATTTTAATGTACCAGTCTTTGAATTAATGGTTACCTATGTAACCTTCTTAATGAAAAGGAGATTTAAGGCAATAGGGCAAAAGAAATATGCCATTAGAAGAAAGGAGAAAGAGATACTTAAGAAGTATGAATAGTAGAAAATACACAGATTTTTGAGAGACTGCTAAAAAATAACAAAATGTAACTGGGCTCAGACATTTAATTAAACAGAATCAATATCCTAGACAAAGCCGGTAAATCATTACAGTAATGCTTAAAATTGACAGTATTACCTTGTGGTCAAGAGACTATAGGTTTCAAACTCCCAGTTCTTTCCTGTATTACCCTGATTTTATTATGAAACAGAACACGAAACTGATGGTTCCTCAGTCTTGAAATGTGGGGTATGACAATTTGAAAAAGGGCAGAAGAGGCAGAATTACTTGACGTCTCCAGTTTTTACAGCCATCTGTATAACTAAGATGCTTGTGCAAGCTATGCTGTAGTTAACTTATTCCAAGGAGCTAAGATAAACCAGTGTCTTTCCTGAGGTCTGGAAAAAAGGACTGGCATCTGCGCCCGTACACAACTGCACTCATTCTTCTCTCCTCAGTGAGGGTTTCACAGGCATCAAAAGTGGAGGAGAAGGGAGACGGGGAGGGGAGGAGGAGGAGGACTTACTAATATTTTGTAAGTACATACATGCTAGATACTGTGCTTTACATCACTTATCTCATCTAATTTTCAGAAGTCTTATAAGGTTAAGAATTACCATTTTCTTCCTACACATGAGGAACTGAGGTGGGAAGAGATTGATTAACCTGCCTATAAGTAGGACGGCTAGAATTTCCATTCAGGAGGAGTGTCTGTTTGTAGGGCAAATATCCCTTCTCTATTTCCTAGGTATAAATATTACAAAAACATAAGGAAGACTTTTGGTTGGGGGAGTAAAACAATTACAAAGGCCCAGATAGGCTACTAAATAAACAAGAAAAAGTTTATTTTTTAAAGGCTCTCTAGGTAAGGTTTTTGAGCTTTAAGGACATATAAGCACCATTTCCTAATTGTTCCTCTTTCAATTGGTCTCAGAGTTCCTGCTATGCAGAATATGAGCTAGAGGAGGGAAAGGTGGGCCCGGTGAAAGAAGTCAGAGTGACAGGTGATTAGAATTTGGTATGTTCTAATTTTAAGAGAGAAGCAGAGGCATTTTATACAGTAAGTACCCAACTTACCAATGAGTCCTTTTGTGGGAGAACATGTGTAAGTCAGATTTGTTCACAAGTCTGACAAAGTGAGCCTTATACTGTACTGTATTTGCACTTTTGCTTTCCTGGTATTTCTTTCTGCTTCAAGCAGTCCTCCGCACATCACCACTGCTTTTCCTCTTGCTTCAGGCATCCTGGGCTCTGACTGAGCATAGTACTATTACACACTATTGCACTACACAGTAAGCACACAGCAGCACAGCTATGCCAATGTCCAGTAGACAGGTGAGCTACTTCTGTGATTTGTTCCCATCTATGAATGTTCATGAAGCAAGGTCTGTTTGTATCTATGAAAGTTCGCAATTCAAATGTTTGTAAGTTGGGAACTTACTATAGTTTCCTACTGAGATAACTAGCCTAGCTCAAGAGAGTGGGAAGTAGGAAACTGATGGAAAAAAGTTATTGCTAAGAATAAAGATTGTTATGCTGTTTTCTAGGGTGAAAGAGGAAAGTAATAGGTTTTTCAATAAACATGGATTTTTTTTTTAGCTTTAAGAAATAGGAATATATTTCAGTGTTACTAGCAAAATCAAAATAGGATATGTATAATTTTTCCAGTGATTGAAAAGACAGACGTCACTAAGTATACTCTGCTGGGTATCTTTCCAAAAGAATTAAAACAATCATATCACAGAGATATATGCACACCTATGTTTATAGTGGCACAGTATGTAATAGCTAAAACTTGGAAACAGCCCATTTGCCCATCAGTTGGAAACTGGATAAAGATGTAGTTTTTCTATAACACAGAATATTACTCAGCCATAAAGAATGAGAAATTAGAGTCATTCATAGGAAAGTGGATACATTTTGAGGATATACTCCTAAGTGAAATAAACAAGTCACACGTGTAAATACCGAATAGTTTCTCTGGTGTGAATAAACTATAATAGTACATAAGATCCTAATGAGATAATTGACAATGTAAAATAGGAAGAAAGGGGCTAAAGGTGTAGGGAAAGTGGGAAGGGTAGGGGAAAGCTAATAAGGGAAAAGAAAAAAATATGAGAAAATGAAAAAATGGGAATGAATTGTTTGCAAAGGGGGAGGAGGGGGTGAGGGGGGGCAGGGACAAGGGTAAAAAATGAGAACCAAGACCTGTCATGTAAAGGTGCAAGATCCCAATAATGAATGTAACTGTACTATATACCTAAAATGTACCAATAAACTCAATGAGGGGGAAAAAAAAAGAATAGTAAGTATAGAAGAAATAAATAAATATGGGGAACAATGAATTTCTTCTTCAGTGCTTATAAGTTTGTAACTCAAAATTTCTTAATTGCTAGGATTTAAATGGTCTTTATTTGTTCTTTTTATTTCTAATTTTTATCCTACCTCTGTCTCAAAAGTTTGGATATATACAGTATGCTGCTTGTGTTGTGTTTTTGAGACAGGGTCTCACTACGTATTCCTGGCTGGTCTTGAACTCACTACATAGCTCAGACTGACCTTTAACTTGCAGTGACCCTTCTGCTGGCCTCCTTCCTGAGTGTTGGCCCAGCTGGATTGACCCTAGAGGACATCCAATTTTTCTGTGGCAGAGAAGATTGATAATCTGCTTTGAAAGATCACTTGACTGATACACAAGTTTATCATCTGATTCTAAATCTCAAACAGGTTTCATTTCTCTGACACAGTAATACCTCGGTTCATGAATGCCTTGGTTTGTGAACAATTTGGTTAGTGAACAGAAGTGTTCAGCAAAATTTTGCCGCTGTTAGTGAAACTCCACATGAGGTGATAAACAAGACCGCATGAACACAAACATGGCCATCTTCTCCAGAACTGTGGCATGAATTGAGTTCATGAATGAAGGTACCACTGTATTCTTTTATTGCATGCCCATATCATGGGCTTTCTTTCATATTGATGGCATATATTATTATCATCATTGAATTGTGTTTTATTTTGTCAACTAGATTGTGACACTTTCAGATAGAATGTCTAAATGAGACCTGGGTCTGAACTAGCACAATTCATGATATATTCTATAGTATGTATCTAACAACACCTTTCACTTATTTTTGTATATTCACAACATCTTATGATACAGGAAAGATTTTGAAAGAGAGAAATATAAGGAGAGTAGGTATTGAATAAACACAATGTTTACCTAATATTAAATGAGATCTAAGCATAGCAGAAATAAGGTGCTATTAATGGCTACACATTTATCCTGAGGGAAGGAAATGCCAAATATTTTGGTATATTAATGAAAGACAAGTAAAAAATTATATTTCACAATAAAAAATTTTAAAAAATGATCCTAAGAAGAAACTATGGGTAAATCACAAGACAAGTGGCTTAGTCCTTTGATAAGGAATAAGCATTCTAATGAATTGTAGTCATTATCCTCTAGTACACACCTCCATCTGAAAGTTTGCTTCAAGTCTTTGAACATTCATTACTAGATGATAAAATTTCTCCATCCTTAAACACATCCTTAAGCAGTTCTTTACAATTACATTGGACTCTGAGGGGCAGATGAAAGAAATCTCCATCTTTCTAGACATCTGGCTTAAGACTATGAGTGGAGAATCTTCCTAGTGTTTTGAAAGTTCCATGTTTTATGTCAAGTATACTCAAAATATAATTCTATTTCTCAATATTTAGTATATGATAATAATAATGTATCAAATATAAATAATATAAATAGATTTAAACAAAGCAGAAGTTTACTGTTCTGAATCATGTAGCTAGAACCTCAAAAACATGAATTGGAATGTGATATGCAGATTGAAATCAGAGTTAGGGTATATTAGAACATTAACAGATTAAGACAAGCCTAACATATCACAGAATAATATATCAGAAGATCTGTACTCCCATACCATTAAAATGTGATTGGAATAAAAAATGGCTTACCATTTACAGAGTTGTAAAACACTGCTCTCGTGCTTTTCACACTGCTGGCACTGCCCACAGAGCCTCCAACATCCCATAATTCTATATAATAGGTCTTTTCTTCTGGGGTTCCTTCTTTGTAGTCATGAACCTAACAAATCAATCGATTAGAATAGTTATTATAACCACTAAAACTCGTTAGGACTCTCATATAGTTTACAGCACTGGGCATTCCACATTAGCATCTCACTCCATAGCCTCTGCTCACCACTTTCTGTCCATTCAAGCTCACTCTCCTTAATACTCCAGCTCTAATCATCACTGACCCTAGAGGACCCTAGAGTCAGTGGATCCTATCACCTTTTACCATTCTTCCCTCCACTTCCAAAGCCTCATTCTCCCCTAAGCATAAATTCCATAATCTATAATTACCATCACTTTTTTTGCCCCTCTCTCACGTTGTTTTTAATCAGACAAAATTTCAATCCTGGTTATAGCCACCTTTCCCTCATTCCATGTCTATGAACCAACTATTGAATGTGGATCTCAGAAAAATGCACATTCTAGGTGATGGAATTCACCATAAGTTCAAATGTACCTTTGGAGCTGTCCTTCATGGAATTATACAAAGTTTTAGCAGTTGGGGACCATTTTGGATAAAAGAAATTAATCCTGTACACTGCAATAAAAGGTACCACGATTTTGCTATATGGCACAGATAACTGAAAACATGACTGTGACAAATCATCAATAGGTTATATTCTTTAAGCAAGTAGGGGAATATAAACATTTTGGTGAGATTTTTAAGCATAACAATTCAAACAAATAATACACAGTGCTATAAAGAATATGCTATCTGTTGTTATGAAAAGGTTTAGCTATGCCTTTTCCTGATTCTGTGCTGCTTCTCATAACAAATCTGGGCTGGGTTAGGTCAGCCTCATACTTGCTTCCATAACATCCTATACGCCTCTTATCTTTTCACTGACCAAACTGCCTTATCTATCTACTAATATTTCTTCTATTAAACTCTGAGAGTAGGGACCATGTATTATTCATTTTTGTAAGGCTGGACAGTAGTATAATATCTAGAAAATGTTAGATGAATAAATAAGTGAATAAATTTAGAGTATCTTCTTCTCCAAGGCTTTATTATATTCATTGTAAGTATAGTTTTGAGAACAAACTAAATCAAAACTACTAGGAATTCTGTTAAAAAATAAAAATTCCCAGACTAACTATGAAACTTCTTGGACGAGGCTAAAAAAGTCTGTATATTTTCTTAAGTTTCCTACACCATTTTGATACATAATTAAGACTTGAAAAAAACAGAAGTACACCATTATTTTCTATATAACAATTTCAAAAGTTTAACATTGTCTCCTTAAAAGGCTATAACTCCTCTGAGAATTCCCACCACGGAATGTAATTCCTAGGGAACATATCCCTGCCACTCCCCCAACCCCAACCTCCCACACCTGCTTACTGGGAATTAAACCCAGGGTCTTTACACTGAGCTACATTCCTAGTCCTGTTTTTTAGTTATGTGAGACAGTGTTTCACTATGTGTCTAAACTGCTGGGTCTAGGCTGAATTTGAGTTACTCCTGCCTCAGCCACCCAAGTCTGTTAGCCCGTACCCTTTGGGATGTACACATTCCTAAGCCATTCTGATGTGCTCATCTGTACTCTCCATCACAAAATATCTCCCCTAACCCAATCTTTTCATGTCTTCCTCTAGAATTGGAAGAGAAGGTATTCTCCTTCTTTTATAATTTGCTCAGTTAATCCTGGCTAAATTTATTTTTATTAGTACAGTATATGCTTGCAGTACATGATGATTACATTCATGGTGGGGAGTTGGTACATATACGTAACACATCTCAGTTCTAAGTTTGATTTAATTCATATGGAGTGAGTCCTGAGAGCTTAAAACCAGTAGCTTATAGTTTGTTGCTTTTACATGTATCTATCTTTGTGGGTGAGTAATCTCCAAGGGAAAGTTTAAGATTATAAAAAAAGCATTGAAAAATAAATAAATAGCATTGCTCTTGACATGGTTAGTGGCACTCTGGTGCTATACTAACAGCCCAACACCATGGTGGTGGTGGTGGTGGTGGTGGTGGTGGTGGTGGTAGTGCTATCATAGTACCAAGCTATGAAAAGCATGATTTATATTTAAATCCAGTCATTGAGACTGATACTTAAAACCACTAAAGACCTTAAAGCTAAAAGGGAAGGATTTTTTCAACAGGAAATATGCTTGTTTATCAAATGGGAAAGAGCAACTCACTCTACGGTCAGTGCTGGTGCCACTTAAGGACCACATTCACTCACCTCTAGGCTTTCTATTGCAAGCAAATGAAGACCACATACAATGGTTTTGTTTCATTTCAAGAGTTCACTGTAACTTTTAATAAACAGAAACTAATAGAAAGGAAAATGAGGCAGGCAAAACTGTGCCTCAAAAAACCAAACCAAAACGAAACAACCAACAGTCAATGCCGTACATGCTAATGAGCCTCTATAAAATTGTTGTTAGAGAAAGAAAAATAGAAAGTCTTAGAGAGAGGTGGGAGGAAAAAAGGCAGGAAAGAGCAACAAGAAAAATACCATCTTAGCTAAATCTCCTCCTCACTCTGAGTAGTCTTTCTTCAACCCTCGTTTATCTCATCTTTGTAACTCCAAACTGCTCTTTAAATTATCTTTTTTATTTTTATTTATTTTTAAAATTGAGTTTATTGGTATATTATGATCACATTCATCATTAAGAATTTGTACCTCTACATGCCATATCTTGATGCTTATTTTTCCCATTTCCCTGCCTCCCTTCAACCCCTCCACCCCCATATACATAAGCTTTGTTTCCACTGTTTCCTTCTTACTTTCAATTTTTTTCATGATCTTCTTTCCTTTTCCCTGCCATTGCCAGCCCACTACCCTTTTCCTTTGAACATTTTCTTTCTATTTCACAATACACATTGTTCCTCATTTACACCTTCAGTTTCTCATAACAGAGGAACGAAGTATTTACATATATACCTGGGTATGGTGGTGTACTCCTATAATCCCAGCTACTTGGGAGGCTGAGGCAGGAGGACTGTAAATTCAAACCCAGTCTGGGCAATTTAGTGACTTAGCAAGATCCTGTTTAGAAAAAAAAAAAAAATGGGGGGTATGACTTAGTGGGAAGGGAAGGCCTTAGGTTCAATCCCCAGTACCACACATTACACACAAACAAAGGCTGGGGATGTAAATCAGTGCTAGAGTGCTTGCCTAACACATGTGATGTCCTGGGTTCAACCCTCAGTCTGCCAAAACAAAACACCTCAATTATAGCCACATACGAGTGGTGGCGTGAATCTGTAGTCCTCCTGCTTGGGAGGCTAAGGTAGGATGATCACTTGAGTTCCATGCAAGCCTGAGTTAGACCCTGTTTCCTAAAACAACACAAAACAAAACAAAACACCACACCCAAACCAAATAACATGACAAAAGCTTCCTTGGCTCTCCTGGTTCAGGGTAATCTCTATTATAAAAGATGATTCCAACTCCAGAATTCTCTCTTGAGCTTCAGCACCTTATTTCTAAATGCCTTCTGGGCAGCACCAATTGGAGGAGCTCACAGATATCTCCCTTCACAAAGCTCAGAACTAAACTTAGCATTTTTTTTCTTTTTCACCCCTTGGGAATAGTTCATCTACCCAGTTGGCCAGGTCACCCATTCAGCTATTAACAGTAGAATTTTACATGCTTCACATGCACATTACTTCCTCTTTGGAATTGGTACTGTTTACTTTTTAGACCACTGCTATGCCATAGAACAATGGTGGTGAACCTATGGCATGTGTACCACAGTGGGCTTTTTATATCATTAAAAACTCTAAAAGGTTTGCCATCACTGCTAAAGAACTTTCTGTAATGATGTAAATGTCCAATATGGTAACCACTGGTAATGTGTGACTCCTGAGTCCAATTTAAATTGCCATACAGGTGGGGAGTAGTGGTGCATGACTATAATCCCAGCTCTAAGGATTCTAATGTAGGCGGATCGGTGTGAATGTGAGGCCAAGCTGGGCTACACAGTGAACCAAGGCCAGTCTGGAATACACAGTAAGACCCTATACCAGTTGTGCAGAACCTATGGCATGTGTGTCACAGCAATCTGTTATCACTCAAAGCTCTAAAAGGTTCATTATCACTGTGACTACCCCAACTCTACAAAAGGAATGTAAATATTACATATTATGCTGCAAATATTTACAAAAGAAAATGGAATAAACAAAAAGCAAAAGGATAAAGAGATGAGTAGACAGGGGAGGGAAGGAAAAGTAAAGGGATGAAAAAAAGAATCAAGATGTGTTATGTACATGTACCGACTTCCCATAAAGAATATAAACATTATGTATTATACATGTATACTAATAAAATAAAAATTAAAACAACAACAAAAATGCCATATGAGACCAGTGGTCCCTGCATTGATCAGCATCAGAATACTTACTTTTTTAATATTGTTGTGGAATACGAGGAGGTATTGAATAAAGGTGTGATCAAGAGCACAGACTCTCAAACCAGCAACACAACCCTGGAAAAGTCCCGCAATCCCTCTATGCCTCAACTGCTTCTTGTGTCAAACGGGGACATTAGCAGTATCTACCAGGCAGGGATTAATTTGTATATAAATGGCTCCCTAGCCAAAGGAAGCACTAGAAAATGTTAGCTATCATTATTGTTACTTTAAAGATAATTAATATACATAAAACTTGTGCCACCAATAGACCCATCTCATATTCTTAGGATAAAGATTATACTTCTTTTTATTTCTCCCTAGGGCTTTGGACATTGGTATGTTATCCAAAGAGGAATTCAATAAATATTGATTGTATGCAATGTGTAAATTAGAGAGTTAAAATCCAATTAAAATGAAATAAAAATGATAAATCAATTTCCTTATTTATAACTTGCAAAAATATTAAACTTTGAAAGTCTTGCTTTCATAATTAGGAGTGACCATGTACTTATAGTACTCTTTTAGACTTGTAATAACAAAATTAGAAGACAAGAACGAATAAACACCACAAAATAAAACTTTTCTCTTGAGTTATGAGCAGCTCTGTACTGAATACTGAAACTAAAATGTTAATAATTG